CCTTGGCTCGCTGTTCGCTGAATCTCTGAATCTGAACGACGTTCGTCAGGAGAACGCGAGGGAAACTTTGTTCCGCGAGAACCAGTTCGATCTGCTTTCGGTTTGCCAATGTTTTCGCAAAGCCTCTGCGCGACAGAACCGTGTGTCTAATTTCGTGTCGGGCATCCACTCTGCCAGAGCGCGCCGAGTGTGGAAAATTTTACAAGAACTTCGCGCGAATCTGTCAGCCGTTTCCGTGTTATTACACACTCGTACGGTTTTAATTAGCCGAACGTCGCCGTCGTCGTGTATTTCGCAATTTCTCTATTTTTAACCTCAACGCGTAGAATTTTCAACTCGCGAACGAACTCCGCGAGGTTCGAGAAATTTTCCTTTCTTTCTCCCTCGCGAGGCAACGAACGACCGCGATCTGGATCTGTCGATCCTCCGGAGTCGAATTGAACACACCGGGAATCGGTGTATTTAATTAGATCGATTCTAGTCTCGGCGAGAATCCCGCGCGCGGTAACCTGAACGTAACACGAGATAGGATATCGATCGATCCGAGAGCGGGTCTGCCTGAGCTGGGGCGTTTGCCGTTTAACCTGCACGCCGTCGTCGTTTCGCCGACGAAGACAGGTCTCTGAGGGTGGCGGCAGTGATCAAGATTAATCGTATGTAAATTATCCAGGGAAGGCGTCGCAGGATCACGGGAAGATCCCGCGAGATCTCCGGAGGGATCCGTGTGACGATCGAACCATCGTCGAGTGTTCGCTAATTGAAAATAGGCCCCGCAGACTAGCTACCGTCTCCTATCGCCCTCACTCCTCCTTCGCCTAGTGTCGATCCCTGACAAATCTTTCGTAATTTGCGCGGAGCGCACGTCGTGATCTCGTTTCGAATGCGAGACATCGGCGGAATGCTCCTCGTTACGCGCGAGTTTAGGGTAACATGCTGTTGCGAATTAGTTTTCGCTCATTTCTTGTCCATCTTTGCTCCGTATCGTTGTTCCTATCTGTTGACGAGACGAACAATCATGGAGAAACGACTTCGAATCGGCATTATAATTCGATGAAAGAGAAATGGGAAACGGACGACCGCGAGTTCCAGATTGACTTGGCGGAGAAAAAAAAAAAAAAGGAAACTCGTTACGGTGGATTTGATTTGATTTTCCTTGGATTGCTCCCCGACGAAGGAAATTAAAAGCGCTGAATTATGCAGATGTTTCGCATTCGTCGATCAAACGAGCGAATAAAAGTTTCGTTCGCACTCGAGTCTTTCCGTAATTTCGTTCCTTGGAGTTTTTATCTTTCGAATGGGAGACGTCATTAACGGTAACGTCAGTTTGATAAGTTTGCCTGTTAACGTTGCTCGAGTACTTCGTCAGGCAATCAATTAAAACGATTTGCTGACAGACAGTTAGGATAATTTGGGATTTCTTGTCAGTATAAAGAAATTTATCGCCTCATATTTATTATCGACAACGATTCGCCCGGTTTTTTGTACCGACAAGTTTCTACGTCTACTGTGCTCCATCGCGGATGGATTGTGTCAGGAGCGTTTAGTATTGTCGACTTAGCTCACTAACCTGAAGAACGAGGTCTTTTTGTTTGTGTTATGTTCAGTTTTTAACTTTTAATCTTCTAAGGAAGGTATTTAAATCCCCCTTCGCTAATGGACGAATTTAAATCGCCAGGCGAAGTTTAATTTTACATGTTTTCATATAAATTATTGTAGTTCTTATATTTTCAAAGTTAATCAAATCAAATTAAATAAAGACTCAAGCAACTCAAAACAAGAAGAGAGAGACCGACGATATATCAGACATTCGGCTTTCTCATATATTACATAGGTGCCGATATATCGGACGTTAGTACTTAGAAGGTTAAAATTACGTTAGGGCAATAAAATATATACTTCAAAGTGACTGAAAAATTCGTATAAAAATAAAAAAGTACTATAAAACAGGCTCGTGAAAGATTGTCCTCACAATCGCGGAGTCAGATATCGTTACGATCTGCAATATTTCGTGACATAGAAAGACAGTGTCAAATCATTTCGCACATTCGCGCTGTCGATTCGACACCGACGTCACTAGAGGCGATAACGAAATTCACCCGAGTAATTTGACCGATGATTCGACTTATCGGAACGATAAGAAAAAAAAAAAAAAAAAAAAAAAAAACGAAAAAGAAAAGAAAAGAAGAAAGAACTTTGACGAAATGCACGTCACGTAAATCGGTCAAGTAGTCGGCGGAGTTTATCGAATAGAGAAGGCAAAAGTATAACGAGCGCGGGTACGTGACTCACTCACGTCAGAAAGGACCGTGTCGTTCCGTGTGATCCTGTCCGCGAGTGAATAACCATAACAACGGATAAATTACCAACGCCGGTGTACGACGACCGGCGCTTGCAAAATGCATGAAACGTCCCGTGAATTTCGTTTCGTCGTACCCCGTGGCTTTCAATGCCGTTGAATATTTCATCGCGATAATACCGTTCGAATTAACGATATATTTTTTTTTTCTCTCTCTGGTCGCCGGTTTTCCTACTTTTTTTCTTTCCTTTTTTTTTTGACGCGCGTGTACGCTGTGCTTTTTTCTTCGATTTTCTCCCCCCTCTCGCACCGACACTCGTTCGCGTTGTTATCTAACAATCGGCTCCGCGTCGCCGGTGAAAATTTTTTTCGCCGCAGCGACGCACAAAACACACGTCCATTGAAATTTAATTACGAGCCGATGCTAACGTGACGCGTGTGTCGCGCTCGATTCCGCAAGGGAAAATCGGTCGGTTTTGAAAAAAACGCGTGTGGCGTTTCGGCGTTTCAACTGATGTCGCGCGAACAATGACGGCGGCGCGGAATTTTGAAAGACGACACGGCACTGACACGATTTCCCGCTCGGAAGTAAATCGGTGGTCGCTTATACAGGGTGTTTCGGAACTTGCGGGACTTACTTCGGGAGCTGATTGTACGCATAAAAATAATGAAAAACAGTCATATAAATATATATCCTCTCTGTCTACGTTTATGAGATATAATGAATTTTCTATTTTTAATTACTTTTACAAAAGTTGCTCGAATTGACCACCTTGCATTTGAAGACAAGCCTGCACGCGTCTTGTCATTTATTTGATTACTCTTTCTATCATTCCTGGTGTTTCTCGAATTTGTCGGAAACCTTGCTCTATTCTATTTCGTACCATTTCAGCATTTTCAATCGATGTTGCGTATACAATAGATTTCAAATGTCCCCACAAATGAAAATCTAATGGATTCGAGTCCGGAGAACGAGCAGGCCATGCAATAGGAACTCCACGACCAATCCATTTATTTGCAAAGTGTTGATTTAAAAATTGCCTAGCCGCTCGGCTAAAATGCGGCGGAGCCATCATGCATAAACCGCATACAAAGTCTAATATCGACTGGAACTTCCTCTCATATTTCGTGTAAACGCGTGCTCAAAAAATCAATGTACTTTGTGCCTGTTAGTTTCCCATAAAAAAAAAGGTCCAATTAAAAATTTTTCAATTATTCCTGCCCGTACGTTTAAACTAAATTGGTGTTGATGTCTTGAATGCACAATAACATGTGAATTTTCTCCAATTATCATTATTATGAAAATTGAATATACCATCCCTGGTAAAAGGTAACTTACTAGAGTTTGCTCTGTTTATAAAATTCATTATATCTCGTAAACGAAGACAGATAGGACATATATTTATATGACTTTTTTTCATTATTTTTAGGCGTGTAATCGTCAGCTCCCGAAATGGGTCCCACAAGTTACGAAACACTCTGTATAAGCGGTTTGTCCGGTATTCTAGAGGAACTTTACGTAAGTACAGTTCAGGCGGCGATTGCAAGATAATGCGCGATGTTCCCGGCCGTCGCGTTTCCTAGCGCTCTCACAGTCAGTCGCACAGCGATGCAAATCGATTCGCGAAACGCATTACCCGTGAAGAATAAACATGGTGGATCCCGCTAGTTTCAAACATGCCCGACCTTGGGACGATTCTGTCTCTTTTCACCTGCGGGAAGCGATAATTCGAAACAGGACGTTTGCCAATCTCTCGATATCCGGTTGCAATCGTCTTGATCGGATCGTCTAGTTGGCAATTTTTGTTATTTGGCATCGGTGATATCTGAGCAAACGTCTGAATCCGATCGATCGACGCGAGACAGGCCTGAGATCTCTCGTTTTGGAAATTTGGAATTTCTTTCGCGATAGAAACAAACGTCTCCTCTTCTGCAAAGACGTGCGTTTAACTTAGCACGGGAGCACGAGAGTATTCGCAGAATTATCAGGTTTATTCAATGACTGGCAAGTGAAACCCGAATTACGTAATTGCACGTAGAAACGGGTGGAAATTTATTGCCAATCGCAACATCTCGCTACGCGACTCCCCTTAATCTCCCCGCCGCCCCGATTTCGCAACGCCGCGCTGGCTGCGCTTTTCCTTCTCTCGCGTCCTCTAGCCTAATCGCTCCGTTTTCGCAAAGATTAAGAACCTCGCGGCCTCTCTTTCCTCGCCTACTGCAAACTGCCTGCTTATCAGCTGCACTTACGTAACCAGTCGAAAGCATTTGTCATTCCTATGCGGCTATACGTATCGATCGATCGAAAAAATTGAAATAGACTCGATCCACGCGATCCTCTCTCTCTCTCTCCTCTCTGTTCATCTATTTTTAAACCAAAAGTTTTCCAGTGAATCGGCGATTCTACCGCGAAGATTTTCCACTAAAAGAGTCGAATCTCTCGTTTCGATCTCTCTCGACTCGTTTGCCCCTCTCCGCGAAGATCGGCGGATACAACAGAGGAGAAGAGAGAAAGAATTCGGTGTTGTTCCACGCACGGTTCTCGCGTGTATGTACATACATACGTACGGTCCCGTGGCGTGGCGGAACCATGACACTCACGATGGCGTGCACACCGGCGGTGAGCAGACTATAGGCAACGCACACACAGGCAAGCACGCAACATGGCAACCGTGGCAGGACGTAGACGATGGTTATACGTAGAAGTTCCAGTGGCAGGGGGTCAGTGTAAAACGGCCTTCTGTCCGTAACGTGTCGAACGTCGTTGATACAAGCGAGTCAGTTCCTCCGTCGTAGTGGCATTACTACGAGTCGTTTTCAATCACGTTTGCCGGACAGGGACGTTGCCAGGGATCGTTTCGTCGTTCGGTAACACGACAGACTGTGTGTCGAGAAACATCGGTGGCTCATCGTCGATAGAAACACGCTGACTCGCAGTAGTACGAGAGAGTAGAGAAAAAGGTAAATCGATGGTAATATAGATGGTAACATATATATATATCTATATCTATATATATAGGTTGCAAGATCGTGATTTCCACGAACACGCAGGCATTGTTCCTGCAGGCGCTCCTTCCACAGCAGCAACTCACGTCGTTTCCCTTTGTCCCCCTTTGTTGCCAATCGACGCGTCCCTCTTGCTAGAAAATTCTCGTGATTTCCGTCCGCGAAATGGCTCTCGTCTTTCCTTTCCTTTCGATCGGATTGACGGTTCCAGTTCGCTCGACGCCGATCTCGGAGCACGACTAAAATCGGAGTACACGCGATTCGATTGAACATTTCTTCCGATCACTAGGCCTTATCGGATAGTGCCTGTTTACTCAGATACGAAACATTTGGCATACTTGCCGACAGAGCAGCAGCTTAGTGCTGAGCATCGGTGTCGTACAGAGTCGAGCGATTTGAGTCTGGTGACTTTCGGACACTCACTCGTCACGTGTTTGAGAAACTGAAACGCGTATGAAAAGACAAAGACTTTGTACAAAAGGTAAAGGCCTGTTTTGACAAAAATCTCTCCTTTTATTCTTCTTCGAGTACGATGTATCCGAATGTGGAGTATCGTTTTGGATTCTGGTGAAAGAATCGAGAAAGATCTGATTCTGGTAACTTTCGGTAACACTCGTTCGTCACGTGTTTGAGAACACGTCGCGTGTTAAAGAGACCATTGTATCGTCTAAATTTATCTCAAGAAACAACTTTTTTTTTTAGCAGAAATCTCTTCGAAAAATATAAACTGTCGTTTAGCAGAACTGAACGATTATTCTGCTAACTTTCGGGGACACTCGTTCGTCACATGTTTGAGAACACCTCGCGCGTGAAAAATCAAAGACCATCTTTCCTTCTTGCAGTATAATCGTACCCGAAAAACGGAGTATCGTGTTTACTCTTACTCTCTATACAAACACAAGAGCCAGTGGTTTTAAGTCTACGTAACACCGTGTTAATTGTTTTCAGTTTCGAATTTACATTTCGGCCAGGCTTCGAAATCAGTTACTTCAACACGATCTGCTCTTCATGTTAGTACTCGGCACGGTTGTATGCGTGACTCGTCCCGTTGGCCGTCGTATGTGTGTGTATGTAGTCGTCGTGTTTGACCTGGTCGAACCAGCTAGCACCGGTTGTTACGATTTTTACTCGTGGCTGTGCCTCAAGGATGCACGCGACGCCGATTCTACCGCGTGATATCGATTTCGGGACGCGTGTGCTCGCGGTATTTGAACATCGCGCGCGGTTCATTTCGCCATTGTTCGTGCAGTTTCTCCCGGCGTGGTATTTTTAAACGGGGTCGCCTGGTGTCACTGATCGTTGGATAAACGGATAATCGTTCTTCTCAGAGCAAATGGAAGAAAAAGAAACGCTCGCGCTGGAGGTCGGCCTCTAGGTGGGGAGTGCAGTTGCGACTAATAGACTAGTATAAATTACAGAGAATAAATAACGAAACGAGCAATAAATAGAACGTATGTGGTTGAAACGTCGCGATATTCCCCGCGATAACGCGTGTTACGCAGCATTAAACGTTGCATGTAATCAGTAGGTAAAAATGTTTCGTCGATTCCTTTCGTACGCGAACACGTATGTATGTATGTATACACACAGGCACGTGGTACAAGATGCAATCGGATGTCTTTCGAATAGCGTCGGCTGAAACGAATCGTCCCGGATGATGGAAAGCCGCCGCGTTCCAATCGCGCGTTTCGAGCCGCGAAAAACGTGTAAACATTCGCGGATCCTATCGCAACGCAAAATGGAACTGGATACGATGGGAGAGTCGACTGGAGTAACATAAACAGACGTTGCACGAGAAGCTGCCGTTTGTACGGATATTACATTACGCCGTTCGAACGGATTCCGAACGCGACTCGAGCGCGTGGGATGTTGCCTTCGTGCAGAAAATAGCTCCGTCGAATCACGTGAATCACGGTCGAGATAGCGGATTCGCGAGCAACTTTGCCGAATCCAGTCGGAGGGATCACCTTCGGAATCGGACTATCGAGAAAGCCCCTGACGGACCTTACGTCAGTTTGATAGCCGGGGTACAAAGGTAGCTCGCGCGCTAGCTTTCGAATCCACCAGCTGGAGAACAACCGTGCCCATTATCTAAAACTTATCGCCGCATTTTACGACACGCCAATTTATGCTGCTTACGCCTGGCACACAGTACTACACGGTTCTCCCGCGTGGTAAGAAACATTTGCGAAGAATCAACTGAAGAATTAACCACTTGCGCTGGCAACCGATTGCGGACCGTAACGAGCGACCAAACCGTAGACGATAATTCGCCGTTCTCTATTTGAACTCGTCGGTACGACATCATTGGATAGAAACTATTGTGAAGTAATAAATTTATTATTTGTTTTGCCATGGGTTTATACTTAACGCATTGCGTACCGACACTCGCCGCGCCTAACCTGCTTCCAGGGAACGCACATTTTTGGAGCAAGAAGGAAACATTTGTACAATGCATATATATACTTCTTTAATTTACATAAAATATTAAATGTCTTAAATATTACTATATATTATTAATATCTTAAATATCTTAAATATTACTACTTTTATATATATTACTATATATTTTTTATAGTAACATATAAGAATCTATTTATTATGTATTTCAAATTTTAACTATTATTTATTTTATATTTATATTAACACATTGAGGACGTTATGCTCTGATAAACATATAGTCTGTATTTTCTCGTATTTATTTAATATATGATTGAAAGAATGTATAGCATTCAACAAGCTATACATTCTTTTATTATTTTATTAATAATTAAATTTACTAATTATTTTTTCATTCTAGAGGTATTTTATTAAATAAAATAAAAATACCTCTAGTAACGTTTCCTGGTGTGCTACGTTAGGGAACAATTTTCCTACTTCTTGAAAAATTATATAACATTATAATATATAACTATATGTATAACTTATGTATAATATTATATATAACGTTGCTTGGGTCGTGTTTTCTACAACGCGAAATAGCGCAAAATTCTCCGTCCGCAACGTCGAAACACGAAAAAAACGAGAATTCGCGTCTCCTCGTCAATTCGTGTCGTCCGCAGTGTGTTAAATATACTTAAAACTGACAATGAGAAAATACTTGCAATTTTGGGGCAAGAAATTCTCGACGTGCGTGGCGCGTCATTCCAGCGCAAGATATTAAACGTGGAATTCCGTAGTTGGGTCCAGAAAAAGCTTCGTTGTCGCTTTCCCCACTCGAGGAGCCGAGACCCTCGCGCAGCTTGAAGTGAGTTTCAAGGCCTAGGCTCAGCGTGACGTCCATCCACGGTATCGCCGGGTCCGCGCATTCTTCAGCTTCGTTTTTCCGCGAAAGATACGTTCGTTTTCCACGATACGTGGCGTTGTATGCCAGACACACTCTCTTTCTCTCTCTTCTCTCTCTGTTTCAACAGACCCGAGCAAGCCCCGTTCTAGTATCTCACACGTCTTACACAATCGCCGAGCGACGTTCCACAAGCGGGTAAAAATGCCGCTGGAAATGTTACGTAAGCGTCGCGATACGCCGGCGCGCGCCTCTATCTCGAGATTTTTCTCCGCGCGCCAAGTCGATTACCTGGCTGGGAAACACGTGGACGTGACACTGTCCGTTCATTGTCGCGTTCCCGGGGGATGAATGGCCCCGCGCGTTTTCCTCGCGGAACGTGGTTTTGCTGACGCGAACGTGTCCCGCATGGGAGCATTCGTTTCGATGAGCTCCATGCCGTCACCATGAACGGGTTATTTCGCTGCTCTTTGATCGGCCGAAAATAAAAACGCTCTCGAGGTGAGCCGAGAGAGAGAGAGAGAGAGAGAGAGAGGCGTCCCCCGGGTGCCGCGAGGCTACGCGTATTCGTCACGGCCGATCGGAAAGTTCCGCCGGTGTCTCGTTGAAACGAGCAACGTTTCATTCGAATGCGAATCGTGTTTGTGGAGCTCGGTTTATGACACTCGAGCGTCACTCGAAAATGATCTCGCGCGTCTCTTGAAGGTGAAATTTGCTGTAAGCCAACGATAATGAGTTGTAATCTTATCCCACGGCCGTACTCACTTCGCTGTCAGCAGCGCTCCAATACCGGTGTACTCAAACTTAGTGTATGTACATTCAACACGGTCTGACTTTCGCTGAGTTTGGAGAGATGGTTTCGGTAGAAAATATGTCTCCATTAATTCAGCACCTTTATTTATATTGTCTCGAGGCGTCTTCCACTTCGGCGTGGGTCGGAACACGTTATCTAAGAAATTAGGAAATGGGTTATCCCTGAGTGTTTCAGCACAGAGATACAAGCAAGTCTCCACGAGCATTTCCACGCGTATCTAGGATGATAGCCCGTGACAAAATATCCAACAACAGCCGCGAGCGTGAGTGGAATAGTACAACTCGCAGTTGTCGCGTAATTTAAAATCCATTTAGAATGATACTACTTGCTTCGCTAACGTTTAGAGTATTTTACATCAAAGTTTTTCAATTCGATTGTACGCACAAGTTCTGTCGCTTCTTCTATATTAATTTTTATTAATAATGTAATTGCGCGCCTAATTGTATACTAGCTGTAGGAGATTGGCGTAATTTCAACGCTTGTTCAATATTCGTCGTAAGAGATATATGATGAGTTTTGGAAGTTACATTTCCATCGATCGTGTTCATAGCGTTTCTTAGATGATTCAGTAACATAACAACGTGTCGAAGCTTTGTTTTTTATTTTTTACTGCATAAAGCATCCAACATTCAATAATTCCACATTGTGTATCACCGATAAAAACATTCTTCCATTCGTTTAATATTTTTGGTGACATTATTGTTATTTCGTGTTTGTTAATTAAATTAAATCGTGGACTGCATGATAAAGTTGACAAATGGCTATTGTCAGACGCCTCGACAACCAGTGACATTTTGCTTTGAGTTCATAATAGAAAGCGGCTAATAAGATCAAAGACGTCAGAATAAAATTCCAGTGTTCGTCTGTTA